CCTCCCCTGGCCGCGGCGCACCAAGTAAAGCAGCCTGTTGCACCTCGCGACGAGATTAATGAGCTGGCGTTCCTGGAAGGGCGGCCGTGGAATCCCGCAGCTGGCCCGCGTCAGCTTTCGTTTCAGTTTGACCTCTCCCATGTGACACCCCAAGAGAGCATTCCGTGTCGTGCGCACGTTGCCGTTGCAGTGCCTGCTGCTGGCGTCGTACTCTTGCAGTCCCGGGCCTGCACGGCCTCCTGCAGCATGAGCCGGGCCCGTTCCCCGTCGTTCCACTAGCAACAAAAAACTGCCGCCACGAGTCGTGCATCCAACGCCGCGCGTCCGAAGATCCCTTCACGAGAGACGCGTCGTGCAAGGAATCCCTCCAAATGTGTCCGTATTGGTCCCATTGTCTCCGCATCACATTCAACCACCGCTCCGCGTCGACACTGCCCCGTTTCCCCACGCGCCGGTGTCTGGCCAGCTCCCACTCGGCAAACAGGGGCCGTCGACAGAGGTCAGCCCCGAATGCCACGACCTTGTGGTCTGCCACCGCGCTCCCGTCGAAGCCCCGAGCACGTGCTTCGCAGTTGCACACCACAGCGTAAGCGATGCACCGTGAGGTGTCCCATCTCGTAGGTAGAGGGTTGCCTTGCCCGTCGCGCACCAAGCATTGGCCGTGCCCCCGCGGCACGGTAACATCCGCCGGCACTGTGTTCCAATCTCCGAGGGTGCGCCGCTGGATCTCCCCAAGGGGGGGGGGGTAGGACCCCCTCCCCCTTCCCCGATCCGTCGTCGGGGACCCCCCCCCCCCCATCCCCCCCCTTCCCCGATCCGTCGTCGGGGAATCCCCCCCCCCTCCCCCCCTTTCCCCGATCCGTCGTCGGGGACGCCCCCCCCCCCCCTCCCCCTCTTTGGCCGCAACCAACCCCGCCCTCCCCCCCCCGCCCCCCCTTTCGCCACGCCGCCACCTGACTCCGGAACCCGACCCCCGCCACCCCTACCCCTAGTCCTCACCCGAACCCAAACCCCTAACCCTAACCCCAACCACTAGACCCAGCCTCAAAGAGTACTCACAACTCATTACTCACTACAACACTTCTGACTAGTCGCTACTCGCTACTCACTTCTCACTACCCCCTACTCACTACTCACGACTCACTACTCACTATCCACTACTCACTACCCACCACCCACTACTCGCTACTCACTACTCCCTACTCACCACTCCCTCCTCCCTATTCACTACTCACTACTCACTCCTCACCACCCACTACTCAATACTCACTACTCACTAAGCACTACTCACTACTCCCTACACACTAATCACTATATCACTACTCATTACCCACTACCCACTAATCCACTACTCACTACTCACTACTCCATGCCAACAAATCACTACTCACTACCCACTACTCGCTACTCGCTACTCCCTTACCCTTACACAATACTGACTACACAGTACTCAGTACTCACTACTCGCTACTCCCATACTCGCTACTCAATACTCACTATTCACTTCCCGCTACTCACTACTCACTACTCGCTACTCCCTACTCACTACATAGGCTCTAGCCACTAGTCACAACTTACTAGTCACTAGTCACTAGGCACTACTCATTACCCACTACTCAGTACTCACTAATCGCTACTCACTACCCACTATTCGCTACCCACTTATTACTACTCACTGCTCACTACTCCCTACCCCCTACTCCCGACTCGCTACTCACTACTCACTACTCGCTACTCCCTACCCGTTACTCACTAATCACTACCCACTACTCACTACTGACTATTCTCTACTCACTACTCACAACTCACTACGCCCTACTCGCTCCTCACTACTCACTACTCGCTACTCTCTACTCGCTACTCACCACTCACTACCCACTGCCACTAACCCACTACTCGTTATTCATCACTACTCACTGCTCACTACTCACTACGCACTACGTACTACTCAGTACTCACTACTCACTACTCACTACTCACTTCTCACTACTCGCTGCTTACTACTCACTAGTCACTACTCACTACTCACTACTCACTACTCACTGCGCACTACGCACTACCCACTACTCACTACTCACTAATCACCACTCGCCCTCCACTACTCACTACCCATTACTCACTACCCACTACTCATTACTCCCTACTTCCTACTCAGGACTCACTACTCGCTACTCGCTACTCACTACTCACTACTCACTACTCGCCACTCCCTACTCACTTATCAGTACACACTACTGACTATTCACTACTCACTACTCCCCACTCCCTACTACCTACTCCCTACTCGCCACTAACTACCCACTACTCACTACCCAATACTCACTACTCACTACGCACTAACTCACTAATCACTACTCACCACTCCCTACGCCAAACTCCGTACTCCCTACACACCTTCCCGGGCGCAGAAAGGAGAAGCGAGAGAGGCCCCCCCCTCCCCGGCTCCCTTTCCGGCGAGAAGGGGGGGAGGGGGGTGGGTCCGACCCCCCCCCCCCTTTCCAGCGCCAAGGGGGGGAGGGGGGGGGTTCCGGACCCCCCACCCCCCCTTCAAGGGAGGGGGGGGGGTGATCGGGACCCCCCCCCCCCTTAAGGGGGGAAGGGGGGGAGGGGGGGAGGGGGTTCTGGACCCCCCCCCCCCCCCTGTAGTGCATTCAGGGAGATCCACTGGCGCACTTTCCCAATCTCCAATAGCCACCCAGGAAGCCATGCCGTCTGCATTCGTGCAGGCGCTGACGATACGCATCACATGGTCAGAAGATTCCGCAGGCTCCTTCCATAGGAACACAAGCACACCCTCCACCAACGTAGCCTGAACCTCACCATGAGCTCACCTTCCTGCATATGGTGCGTGACCGTAGAATGCGCTTTACCAGCGTGGCCACTCCGCCCCGCTATCCGCAAGGATCAGAATTGCACTGCACATGGTATGCCCGGCAACCACTGTTGCACGCCGTATTGCAGAACGAACGTAGCGTAGCACAAGCAAGTCCCACCTCCTTCAGGCAAATGACGTCCACCCCGTCGTTGCCACGTCGCCTGCCACGCCCCAGCTTCGCTCCGGACACTGTAGGACCACATCGTGCAAGGTAGTGACCGCAACACGTTCGGGGCCAGGGCCGCGTCCGCCCAGTCTTCCGTGTCCGCGTCGCTCGCCGCGCCGCCTCAGAGACAGTGCAGGTGAGGTGGGCGCGCTGCAGGAGCGCCCCGCCTGCCCCGCCAGCGCGCCCAAGCGTCGGGGCGGCCTTCCGCTCGGAGTCGTTTCTGCTCCTCCTCCCACCTGTGATGAGCCGCCGTCTGCTCCTGCTTGGCGTAGGCCCCGCCGTGTTCTTCCTCCGCGTGTCGTCTCGGGAACCCCGTGGGTGTCACGGTAAGGCTTGCTTGAAGGAGGGCCTGGAAGCCTGGAGGACAACTGCTGGCGCCTCTTGAGCCGCCCGGGACCCTGAAAGCCATCTTCGCGATGGCTCGGGGCCCCCCCCGTGGTGGATGCTCATTCTGGGGACCTTCCTGGAGACGCTCGCTCCACTCGTGCGTCGAACGGCCGTCGATGTGAGTCGACCTTGAGTCGAACCTGAGTCGAACCTGAGTCGAACTTGACTCGAACTTGAGTCGAACTGGGGTCGATTTAGAGTAGAACAGATCCGTCTGGTCGAGCGCCCGCCCGACCTGCCCGCCAGGGGACGCACAAAGACTTACTTGTACTAGATGCTCTCCTCGGAGGCGCGCGTCCGACCCGAACATATAGTACACCCATCTTGTAGTAGATCGTTTCCCGAGCGGTGTGGCCTTCAACCGCCCGCCACGACGCATATACTACAAGATTTCTCGGTGCGGGGGGGCGACGCACACAGAGTATTAGTATGTTGGGGTGACGCCGACGTTGGGGTCCGCCCGCCCGACCCGCCCTTTGGGCCCGCCCGCCCGACACACCCGTCAGGGTCCGCCTGCTAATCGTCCTGCTCCTCTCTCCTTCCCCCCGGAGCTCACAATAGGCTGTCTGTCAGGGAAGACCGTGACGCTCGAACTGTGCCCCTAGGCCCTCGGCTACAACAACGGCTCCCCCCTGAGCCTCACAATTCATTCAGGAATCGCGCTTTCGCTCGACGATCCCTGACAATTCACACTAGAATCCAGCTCTCGCCCAGGAACTCCCCACAGTTTACTGATGCGCTGCGCTCTCGACGCCCCGCACGAGACTTCCCCACAACTTACTCAGGAATCGCGCTCACGCCCGAGACGTCTCCGCCGAAGGGCGAGGCGCGACGCATGCGAGTCCCTCTCTGGAACGCCCGGCTCGTCACGCTGGCACCGCAGCGCCTGCGGCAGAGCCCGCCCGACGGTGAAGAGGCGCAGCCGCGACGGCGACAGAGGCAGGGGCGGGGGTCCTCCTCCTCCTCCTCCTCCTCCTCCTCCTCCTCCTCCTCCTCCTCCTCCTCCTCCTCCTCCTCCTCCTCCCCCTTCTCCTCCCCCTCCTCCTCCTCCTACTCCTCCTAGGAGGGCCAGAGGGGGTGCCTCGGGAGCCGAGGCGGGCGGCACACGGGGCCGGGACCCCGGCAGCGGGAGGCCCGGCAGCGGGAGCCGGAGCATCGGCGATCGAGGCTCGCCGAGCGAGGCTCGAGGCGTGGTGGGCGTTCCCGGGGGCCCTGCTGGGCCGCAAGAGGTGGCGTGCCGTCGGCCTGGCCGAACTCCCCTCGAGACTCTCGCAAGAATGGGCAGGGATTGCCATCAGATTTGGCCCACAGCAGGATCTGGGAGGAGGAGGAGGAGGAGGAGGAGGAGGAGGAGGAGAAGGAGTAGGAGGAGAAGAAGGAGTAGGAGGAGGAGGAGGAGGAGGAGGAGGAGGAGGAGGAGGAGAAGGTGGAGGAGGAGGAGCAGCACCAGGACGGGAGAGCCCAGTGGACGAGCGATGCTGCGTAGCTGTGTGTGCAGAAGTCGGCCAGGGACTCATCCGATTGGGGCATGCAAAGAAAACAATAGTGGACTGCGAAGCCAAAAACAGATGC